CATGGAGCACTGGGTGTTATACGAAAACAATGGATCATGGATCACCACATCAAAAACCAATGATGTATTGTATGGTGACTAACATAACATAATAAAATTTAAGAAAGAAAGAAAGAAAATGAAAAAAAATAATAATCTAAGCACTAAATAATCAGGGTAATTGATCCCTCGGCAAAACTTTGAAGCAGGCGAGTTTCTTCTTCTGCCTCTTATTTTGGCAGATCCCTCCCCAATGACTCCATCCAATCTGCACCCTGTGTGAGAGACTCCTACCTAGATGTTGAAGGAAGGAAATTTTATGAATACCAATTGAAAGTGTTCATGACATTCTCAGTCTTAAAGTCCTATCACTGGCCAGAGAGGAAAAAATGTGGGGTCATGAAGAGTAACTTTGCAACATTAGTCCCACAAAAGACTGATGTCTCCGCAAATCTAGGGGTTTGTAGGTTTGTGGGTTTTTTTGGTTTTTGGTTTTTTTTGGTTATTTAGTTGGTTTTAGTGAAAAATTTCAAGCTAACTAGTATCAAGAGAGTGAAATATCAATGTAATTTTCAGAATGAAAAGTAAAAATCAATTCTATTCTTAAATTTCTTGCTCTTCTCCAATTTCACACTGACTTACTATGTATATTCGATTTATTAGTCTTATAAATATGCTCCACAGGAGATAAAGATTTTTTCATCTACCCATGAAAACTTACAAGCTTTCATGCTAAATTAAAGTACATAAAAATTTGATGCCAAGTTATTGGTTTCATTATATACTTAGACTGTCAATAAATTATACCAAGTTAATAACTTATAATTGCTTCCACAATAAATAGCAAAACCATGCTGTAGTGTAAGTGTCTGACATTAAGCTTTTGATTGTCCAGGTACTCATTTCAAAGACATCCATGTCAAATAAACATATTGCCAGCCATATGACACAGCTACTAGCAAAGGAATAAGGCACAAAGCCACCCCCACCCATAACATTCCCCTTTTAAAAAACCTGGGTGACCTGGATAACTGACCACTCGAGCATGCCCTAATCCCACTCTTATGCTTTAAATCTGCCGATAAAGAGTGAACTTATGAAATCCTAGACACCCAACCCTCAACCCTAATAAAGGCAGAGCCCAGGTTCACACTCGACCTCATTGTGTGGCCCTTCAGCATGCTATGTACCCTCCAGGACCTGTAAGTAATATAGACCTCGTTCTTCAAAGTTCCCTGATAGTATCTGCCTGAAGTGTATCCTAAGATTGTAGTTAAGAGCCACAAGGGCTGGCCCAGCCATGACACTGGCCCTGGGGAGGATGTCTGTGGGGCTTGCTATGAATAATATAGTTGCGGGGAGTACCTCAGGCATTCCTAGCCAAGAATATCACTATAATTAGGCTGGGAGTGTACATCACAGACTGAAAGCTACACTGAAAGCTATACATATGTTTATTTGTATATTGGGGGGAGGGAAAAAGATGTTTCACACTGATGGTAAGCTGTCACTGTTTGCATAAGGTAACTTTCATGTCAAGCAGTGGAGTATCCTGCTTTTAGGAACAAAAGACAAGCTATCAATTTAATTAACACTCACATCTGCCCCCTGATGTAGGTATTATTCTCCTTAATTTTTTATTTTAGATGTGAGGAAACTGAGGCTCAGGAGACTATAGAAACTTGCCAAAGAACACAAAGCTATTAAGTGACAGAGCCAGTATTTAAAACCAGCCTCCACTGACACCAAATCCTATGCTTTATACAGATTACATCATGTTGCTTCTGTCTAGCTAAGACAAACTCGCACACGCTTGGTTTTATGTTGATTTTATGAGCGTCCATATAATCAGACTCAACTATGAGAATACGGATAAATGGTTATAACATCTGAGCAAATGAGGAGACTATCATGTAAGCTTCATCAAGTTTTTGCTAAAGCCAGAGGACTGTGCAACTAGCCAAAAGTCAATCAATCACAACTTCACTGGCAGCTTTATGCTTTCCATACTGATTTCTATAAAGAAAGTCGTAGTGGCCAGAATGCCCTTTTTCTTGAATCCTATCTCATAAAATCATTAAGCAGGATAACGAAAGCTGCATTTCTCACACCATCAGAGGTTATGGGAAAACTAGTTTTTTTAGTACAAGATAGTAGTCTTCAACCACCTTTTACACAGTTTAAAAAAAAAAAAAGGTAAGTTAATTTGTAGATATTATTTTTTTATAGCTCCCTGAATTTATATATCACTCCTTGACTCAGAAATTCAAAAATAGGTTTTCTTGGTATGGTTCAAATTAAAACATAATTTATTATAACACATGATGAAACATTAGACCTTAATCTTTGTAAACGAACTTCTTCTCACCAGTGTCATAAAGTAAAATTAGTGTCAAATAAATTCTGCCATGCAATTTAATCACTAAAAAAAGGACTAAAGTTTTGTTAATGTATTTTCTTTGCAGCTCATCTTCCAAACTGAATTTCTCTGGAAAATAACCTAAGATTAAAACTTATCAAATGTTTTAAAAATGCACAGAATAAAAATTAAAATACATATACATATTGTAAAGGTATTTAACAGTTCAAAATAATATTAAAGCATGATAAATCGAGTCATTTTCCAAGCCCACCTTGCTGTCAAGGCTCTTCATTGTTAAGAGATCCAGTGTCTTCAGAGAGTGACCTGTAGGGGAGATGAAGTAGAGGCACACATGGATGCGAGAATCGTGGTAGTTAAAGAGAGAGCGCTTGATCTTCAGCTCCTCTTGGAGATAGGCCTCAAACTGAGCATCTATGTAGTCAACTATCGGTTGGTAGCTGAAAAAATAAATATTAAAGTATTTAATACAATATATTCACTCTACCTTAGTAAGGTATTTATGTAATTCTAAGGTGTGAGATCTATATTTTTACCAATTAATAAACAGCTACTATCTTTGCTAAACAGAGAACTTTAGTAATAAAACAAATTTCACAGAATATGCATGCACAGACAGTACTTCAAAACCATCAGTATAACCTGTACTTTAAATTGCTTTATAGAAACTGAATGAAGGTACCTGGAGTCATTCTCACATTCATTCATACACTGCTCCCCTTTCTGATAAGGGTTCCCATACTTGTCAGACTGCTGAATGAGGCCAGGCACTTAACTATAACCAAACTGGACATATTACTCAACTGAGAAAAGGCATGAATATTAATAAGTTAAAAGATATTTAAGTCAAATTCTATGACTCCTTGCTTCTTAAATCTGATTCATAAGGCATGAAGAACAGCAACAAAGTAAGGAGGAAAGGCGTACATCAAATGGAAAGTAACTAGTAATGCAGGCATGATTTTATCTTTGTTTAATTATAAACAAAGGAAAGGCACACACACTCTATGCTCTGCGTCCTTGCTTAGATCACTTCTCCTCCTGGCATGCCATTTTCCCACTAGCTATTTCATTCTATTCATCTTTCAAGATGCAAATCATATCACACTGCATGTGCATGGGCATTCAACTTAGTTTGTGAATGTTCCACTTCATTCTGATATATTAAAAACTGTCTACACAATTCAACTTTCTACTCTTAACTATTCTTATTAAGTAAATCTGGCTGTCCAAGTGAAAATAATAGCAAATAGTTCCTCTATCAAATTCCCTGGACACTTTTATAATTATCTTTGTAGCCCAAATGGAGCAGTACTTTGTGCAGCTGAGGTACTCAATACATGTGCATAGAACTGAATTCTTCCATAAAGTTGCCCGATCCTTCTAGTCCTTAAGGATCATCACCTCTTTTAATGTCATGGAATACCTTATTCTTCCCATGCAGATGGTAAACAATGTGAGGACAGAGACAGTATCTTATACTTCTTTGTTCTCCATGACACCTAGCATGTACTTTGAACATTATCAGAGAGAGTATTAGGAACACGAGTATTCACTATCAGGAACACTATCCTTGGGAAACTTGTCTAAATGTGATCCAACATGATTCCCTCCCCAAAATAATAAAATAGTAAAACTTAATCTGTAAGTACATATTTAACATAAAAAAAATCCAAAGAAGCGTTTATTAATGACCTGAAAGAGATCAGTAACATGAACCATTTTATGACCTAATATCCATAAACGGTCCTCTACCTGACTGTGCTGCATTACACTTGTCATAAATGAAGACCAAAACATTTTCTGCTAAATAAATAGCATACCATTAGGAGTTCTTCCATAGTAATTTGCCCTAGGTTTCCATTTCTAATACACTGCATACTCAGTCTTCCCAATGAAACAAAAGACAATGGCTTAAAATATAAAAACCACCTCCTTAAAAACCTCCAAGTATTCATAAAGTGATAAGGAATTAACCAGGTCAAAATTGAAGAGAGACAATGAGATACCACCTCACACCAGTCAGAATGGCTAGAATTAACAAGTCAGGAAATGACAGATGTTGGTGAGGATGCAGAGAAAGGGGAACCCTCCTACGCTATTGGTGGGAATGCAAGCTGGTGCAGCCACTCTGGAAAACAGTATGGAGATTCCTTAAAAAGTTGAAAATAGAGCTACCCTACAACCCAGCAATTGCACTACTGGGTATTTACCCCAAAGATACAAATGTAGTAATCCGAAGGGGTATGTACACCTCAATGTTTATAGTAGCAATGTCTACAATAGCCAAACTATGGAAAGAGCCAAGATGTCCATCAAAAGATGAATGGATAAAGAAGATGTGGTATATATACACAATGGAATATTATGCAGCCATCAAAAAAAAAACAACCCAAAATCTTGCCATTTGCAACGACATGGATGGAACTAGAGGGTATTATGCTAAGCAAAATAAGTCAATCAGAGAAAGACAAGTATCACATGATCTCACTGATAGGAGGAATCTGAGAAACAAGACAGAGGATCATAGGGGAAGGGAGGAAAAAATGAAACAAGATGAAACCAGAGAGGAAGACAAACCATAAGAGACTCTTAATCTCAGGAAACAAACTGAGAGTTGCTGGAGTGGTGGGGGGTGGGAGGGATGGGGTGGCTGGGTGATGGACACTGGGGAGGGTATGTGCTATGGTGAGTGCTGTGAATTATGTAAGACTGATGAATCACAGACCTGTACCTCTGAAACAAATAATACATTATATGTTATAAAAAAAAAAAAAACATAGTAGGAAGGGAAATATGAAAGGGGGAAATCGAAGGGGGAGACAAACCATGAGAGACTATGGACTCTGAGAAACAAACTAAGGGTTCTAGAGCAGAGGGGGTGGGGGGATGGGTTAGCCTGGTGATGGGTATTAAAGAGGGCACGTTCTGCATGGAGCCCTGGGTGTTATACACAAACAATGAATCATGGAACACTACATCAAAAACTAATGATGTAATGTATGGTGACTAACATAACATAAAATAAAATTTTAAAAAATTGAAGAGAGAGTGGAGCCTGAGAGAGGTGAGCAGAGGACTAGAGGAGGGGTCAGTAAATGGGCCAAGTCCAGATGATGCCTGTATCACACAGCTCTGTTCACGGGTGTATGTATTGCCTATGGCTGCTTTGTGCTACAATGGCTGAGTTGAGTAGTTTGGACAGAAAACATAAGTCCCGCAGTCTGAAATATTTACTATCTGGCACTTTACAGAAAGAGTTTACTAACCCCTGCACTAAAAGCATCAGTGCTAGTTTCGTCCTGAGGCCACTTGTCAATCTAGTTCTTGAGCTTCACTTCTGAAGGACTCACAGGACAAGAAGGAAAAAATAAAAGCCCAGGGCCCACACAGGTAGGAATCTATTAAGAAACTAAATTGAGATCCTAAAAGCCACACCTTCAGGGTAAGAATGAACTAGAAATTAACCTACAATTCCTCCCCTCTCCCCAAGTTTCTATAGGAAAGGTTGCCCTGGCACTAAATGAAGCAGGGAAAATAAAAGGGGGAAAAAAAGTCCTTGAGAACTTGAAGCCACAGGTCTGCTCTCACACATATCCGCAGCCCAGGTTCACAATGCCTCTTTGATGCTGAGAACCCTGAGCCATGAAATGAGTGTAAGGATCCTCAGAGTATTAAAGCCAACAGGGGCCTAACATAAGCATATCCAAATCTGTTCAAAGGAAGACAACTTCATCTTAGACCTCAAAGTATCTCTGCAAAAACTTTTCCAAAGACCATGAGAACTGTATTAAAAAAATAACCAAGCATGTAAGAAAAAAAGCACAATGAATGAGAACCAAAGGAAAAAAACAAACATCAATAAGTAATGCATAAGGCTGAGAATCAATGAGAAATTAGAGCAAATTAGATCAAAACCCAAAGACAGGTAATTATAGGTGTAAGAGCAGAAATAAGTAGGAAAAAAAACAATATAAAATTGAGAGGACAAATAATAAAGCCAAATTTTGAAAAAAAACAGACCAACAAAGCTTTGTTGAGACTGATCAAAGGAAAACGAGCACAAATAACCAGAATCAGAAAAGGAAATGCAGATATCATCACAGATGATGTAAACAATAAAAAGATACTAGGAATATATTATCAAATATTTTAAGTAAATATCTTTGAAAATTTGGATGAAATGGACAGATTCTTGGAACACTGTAGTATTCCAACTGTCTCTAGAAACTACTCTAAATTGGCCTATAATCATTAAAGAACATTAGTTAGTAATTAAAAACCTCAGAAAACTCCAGACTGAGATGGTTTTATTAGTGAGTTCCACCAATCACTTCAGGGAAAAATAACTCTAATTTTATGCATAATATAAAAAGAATACAAAATGATATTCAAGATTGAAGGCTAATTTACCAATGAAAAATCCGTTACTAAAATTCATCTTGTTAAAGATTAAAGAAGAAAATGTACAATCTTCTCTACAGAATGCAAAAACAAAAAATATCTGATAATATTTTTCATGATAAAAAATAAAACTCTACTAGTAATACAATGGAACTTCCTCATTCCAACTTAAAAAAAAAAAGCAAGCAAGCATAATAAATGATAAAAATAAAGCTTTCCCTTTGCATCACGACATGGCAAAGATACCCACTAATACCACTGACTATCCAACATAATACTCTAAGTCCTACCCAGTGCAGTCAGGTTTTAAAAATGGAAGAAAGAAAAATTAAAACTGTCTTCAGCCATAATGAAGTAACCGGGACTGGATTTACTCTCCCACTATGAACAACTAGAAACTTGGATAAAATACACAAAAAAGGCTTTCAGACATTGGACAACACGCAGTATAAAACTGTGTTCACTGAGAAGGGAAATAAATGAGGAAAGCTTTATGATTCTCCCAGCTTACTGCCTGAAGACAAGTTTCCAGGGCACAGCACAAAAGAGCACAGAGCCTGGCGGACTCACCAAGTTGAGGAGACAGAAACAGGAGTTCAAGGAGGCCAAGGCAACTAGAATTTGTAGGCAAGAACACTGAATAGAAGGCAGCTGCACCAACAGAAGTACTAATGATCTAGACAGACAGCGCTTCCCTCCAGTCTGTGGTGAAGCACTAATCTGCATATACATGTGAGGAAAGAACCCAAGACTATGGATATTTCCTATGTTATAATCATGGTGGTAGTTACAAAACTATGTATTTGTCAAAATTAACTGAATTGTACACTTAAAAAAAAAGTGCATTTTATTCTGTGTAAATTATACATCAATAAAACTTATTTATTTTTTACAAGATTTTATTTATTTATTTGACAGAGAGAGACACAGCGAAAGAGGGAATACAAGCAGGGGGAGTGGGAGAGGGAGAGCAGGCTTCCCGCCGAGCAGGGAGCCCAATGCAGGGCTCGATCCCAGGACCCTGGGATCATGATCTGAGCCGAAGGCAGACGCTTAATGACTGAGCCATCCAGGCGCCCCAATAAAACTTATTTTAAAAGAAACAAAAGAACTGACAAAAATATATAAATGTCATTATTCATAGATTACACTATTATACATACATAGAAAATCTACACAAATTTAGAGATGAATTGCTGGAATTAATCAGAGAATTTACAAAAGTCACTGTATGCAAAATCAATTATATTTCTATACACCAAATAGAAAATGAAGTATTTCTAAAAGATATCATCTATGAGAACATCAAATACACCAAATATCTAATAATAAATTTAAGTAAAGCTGTATAAGATCACTACATTGAAAACTATAAGGAAATTATGAAGATTTAAAGCAACATGTCACAGGCCTTTGACTCTACCATTAATCTGCTTCTTCGAAAGTCCACATAAATGTGCTGAAAGGCCAACGTTAAGTCACATAAAGGGAATCAATTATGCAAACTATTTCCCCTCTAAAGCAAACTTTAGGAAATTAAAAAATTACCTCTAACAATGAAAATATATGAATTTCAAAAAGGAAAAAGAAAAAGAAGTTATTGCTTAACCCCAAACTATTTCCCTGTTTCATATTTTAAATTTCATACAGTCTATAATCATTCTTTATAATACCATAGGAGAAAGAATGACATAATATAAAATATAAGTAACAATTTCACTATCAAACTTTTCCTACAATGCTTAATAATGGACCTGGCTGATTTGCTCAGAATTTCACACACAGAAAAATTCATGCACCATGGATTTGGCCATTACATATTTGCCATTGTATGTCTTACTTTTTTCCCCTCAACAAAATAAGTCCTGCCTCAAAATTAGAACAAATCACTTACTATACACCAAACTGGCATGTGAGGAAATAATTAAAACAATTTCTGTCAAAGTACACATTTCAATAATGTGAGTCAAATTATGCTAAAAAAAATTTAAGACAACTGGATAGAAAAATGTCAATTTGTTAAGAATAAAACACTGCTGATTTATTTAAAAAAAGTTAAAGTCTGGGAAGAAAAGGTATGAATTTCCAGAGTAGAAAACCAAATCATGGCTTATGGGACAAGACAACTATCTTGAAATAAAACAATTACAATAAGAAAACATGTACCTCTCTTCTTTGTTTATTTGGTCACCAAATCCTACTGTATTCACAATGGTCAATTTCAATCGAACATTACTTTCATGGAGTTCATATGTCTGGGCTTTAAGTCTAACATGTGGGTAAAAATGTGAGGATCCATGGTCTTCAAAATTAGTGTTAAACAATGTGTCAATCAGCGTTGATTTTCCAATTCCAGTCTCCCCTGAAAGAAACAAAGGTACATCTTCACAAGTGCAGAGGACAAATGAGAAAAAAATAGAACTCTTAGACTGGTTTCAAGGATCCCAAATATCTCAAACATTCCAAATGCTGAGTTGTCTATGAAAGATATACAAGTTAAGGCTGATCCACTGAGTCATTAGCAGAACATAAAAGTGAGTATGTATGCTAAGTTACTCAGAACTCTGAAGAAAGCACTGAAATGTTTAAAGAACAAAAAAGTTTAAAGCAGTACAGCTAAGAAAAACAAAACTGACAGAATTTAAGTAACTGAAAAAAATCTGCAATCATGATCTCAAATTAATAACATGAGCATCATACTGCTTCCAAGAGTGAAGAGAACACAAGGAATAATTTAGAGGAAGAGTTTGGCACTTACCCACACAGAGAATATTAAAACAGAAGCCTTGCTGAATGGATCTATTGACCAGCTGATCAGGCAAACTCTCAAAACCAACATGGCCAGACATAGTTAAAGAACGAATATTTTCTTTTTTTTGCTAAAGGAAAACAAAGACAATGGCAATAATTTAAAACAATTTTAATTAATTGTTTTAAATTAAATTAATTAAATTAAAATTTTTAATTAAAATTAAAAACAAAAAACTTACTAAAATAGGATGTAGGCACATTTAAAAGGATAAATATACTTTACCAAAGAAACTAAAGATTTTATGATCATTAGACCTTCACCAAGATACAACTATATTAAGTAAATTTGTGAGAAACCTGTTTCCAGACCCTGAAAACACATACACATTTCTTATTCTCTTCATTCAAATACTTGATTTCCAAAAATTAGGAAAATACTCATGTAAACTATGGCAGTCATTCACGAAATGGAATGTTTAAAGTTATTATAGATGTTTATGATAAGTATTTAGTAACTTAAATTTTACATTAAAATGTCACATGAAAAAAGTACAATACAAAATTACAGTTTCAGCTCCCAGTAATGGCAGAGTAACTTATGTCAGCTGCTAATAACAATTATAATCTATTCTTCCAAGTCAATGGAGTGCAACCAAAGGCCAACAGACACTGGAGGTCTCTTGGGAGTGGGAGCCATGTAAAGTGAGATGCACATTTTCTAGGTCTTTCTGAGGGCATACCCCAGTCACTGCTGCTCAAAGACAGACCTCAGGATGGAAGTGGTAGTCTTACTGGGTTGAGAAGTTGGAAATAAGGGCAGGTAGATCAGCTGAAAATTGAAGAAGAAAATTACAGAAAGGAGGGAGTCCAAAATCTGCACGTGCACTCCCCTCAAATCTCTGGCTGACTGCCGAACTGCACAAGAACAGGGGCAACACAAAGAGCCTAGCAAGGGGGAAATGGAAATTGGAAGGAACTATGTAGAGTTTTCAAGAATGCCATCCTGGGAAGCTTGAATTTTAACTCTGTAAGTTAAAGGGGCTTAATAAACATTTCAGGCTTTCCACCAAAAACCTTTATGGACATTTTAGGAGTAAGGATCACATCCCAGGAATCAGAAATGTTCCCTAGCACACAAATGAAATAGACCTGCCCTAACAAAGTGTATAACCAAGGCTCAACATGAACAATGCAAGAAGCTGGTAATTTACTGCCTGCTAGAACCAAGGTCAACACTCTTCAGAAGAAGAAACCAGAATCCAGCACCGCTATGATGTATCATCCACAACATCTACTATACAATAAAAAATTACTACAGAGGAAGAAGCAGAAAAATGTGATTCATGGTCAGGGGGAAAAAGTCAACAGAAAAAGATCCACAAATTAACCAGATATTGAATCAGCTGATAAGAACTTTAAAATAACTATGATAAATATGCTGAAGAAGAAAAAATATCCTCTTTTTCTACAGGAAAAGGAGATAGGTATAATGTGTGGCGAATTACAAGAGAGATATGAAAGCTCTCAACAACAAAAGGCAACAAATGGAATTCCTAGAAGGAAAAATGCAACATCTGAAATAAAAAACATATTGAACAGAATTAACAGCAGATCAAACAATGAAAGGAAAGACTTGTTCAATAGTTATATCCAAGTTAAAGATCTTTATCAATCCAAGCCAATCTCTTATAGAAAAGATAAAACTAATAGAGTCCAAAAAAACTGTGGGACAATATCAAATGGTCTTACATACCTGTAATTGGAATGCCATATAGAAAAGATGGGGAGAGACTGGGGGAGGGAAGGAAATATCCAAGTGATAGTGACCAAAAATTTTCCAATTTTCTAAACATGAACTAAGAGATCCAAGAATTTTAGCAAACTGCAAACAGGAAAAATCCAGAGCAACCCACAACTAGGCACATTAGAACAAAATGTTTCAAAACACAGATAAAGAAAAACTTTACGAGCAACCAAATGTGGGGAGACATACTACACACTAGTGAAACATATAAAATGACTACGGGTTTCTCATAAACAACAACGCAAAGCATAAGACAACAGAACATCAATAAAATGCAAAAGAAAAAAAATGACAACCTAGAATTCTATATCTAATGAAAATATCGTTCATAAATGAAAGCCAAAGAAAGACATCTTCAGACAAAAAAAAAAAAAAACTGACATAATTCACTAAGAGCAGACCTATACTATAAGAAATGTTAAAAGTTATTCAAGAGAAAGGGAAATGAATCATATCTACAAAAAGAAATAAAAATTGCCAGAAAGGTAGAAATGTGGGTAATTGTAAGAGAATTTTTTTGTTAGTTTTAATTTCTTGAAAATATGATTGTTTAAAGCAATAACAACAATGTATTGCAGAATTTGTAATCACAGAGAAGCAGAATGTATGACAGTGACAGCACAACACATGGGAAAGGAAATGAAGAGCTACTGTTGTAAGGTTTCTATACTATACATGAAGTATTATAATACTGTTTGAAAATGTGTGATAAATTAAGGCCTACACCAATTACTATTTTAAAAAAATAAAAGACCAAAGAGATATAGCCAATAAGTCAATAGTTAAGGTGAAATGCAATCATAAAAATATTAATCCAAAAGGCATAGAAAAAAGAAAAATGAAAGAACAAATGGGACAAAGAAAATAGCAGCAAACAGGCAGACTTAAACCTAGCCAAATCTATAATTAAATTAAATGTAAATGGTCTAAACCAGTGATATCCAACAGAACTTCCTATGATGGTAGAAGTGTTCTACATCTGAGCTGTGCAACAGGAACCCACTAGCCAGCCACATTCAGATACTGAGGACTTCAAATGTGACTAATCCAACTGAGGAACTGATTTTTAAATTTTATTTAACTAATTTAAATTTAAATAGCCTCATGTGGCTAGTGGCTACCATTCTGGACAATGAATGTCTAAACATTTCAGTTAAAAGAAGGAAATCGTCAGACTGGATAAAAGAGCAAGACTCATCTCTATGCTATCAATATAGTAACTGACAATCTGGTTCTAAAATCTATATGGAAATGTAGGTGATTAAGAACAACTACAACAATTATGCAAAAGAACAAAGTTGAAGGACTTACACTACCTAATGGTAAAGCTACAATCGCCAGGAAGTGTGGTACTGTGACAATCAAATTACCTATTTGTCTGCTTCATCAAAATTAAAAACTTGTGATCATCAAGGAATATGTAAATCAGATTAAAAGAAAATATTATATATTTGACATATATACATGACAAAACACTTATATTCAGAATACATGAAGAATTCAAATGATTTAGTAATAACAATCCAGTTTTTAAAAAAATGGGTAAAGACTCGAATAGAACTTCACAAAGAAGATAACAAAATAGCCAATGAGCAAATGAGAGAGTACTCAACAGTACTGGTTATTAGGGAAATGTGAATTAAAACTACAGTAAGATGGATGCCTGGGTGGCTCAGTCAGTTAAGCGTCTGCCTTCAGCTCGGGTCATGATCCCAGGGTCCTGGGATCGAGCCCCACATTGGGCTCCCTGCTCAATGGGGAGTCTGCTTCTCCCTCTGCCCCCACCATGCTCTCACCCATTCTCTCTCTCTGTTTCTCAAAAATAAATAAAATCTTAAAAAAAAAAAAAACTACAGTAAGATATCACTGAACACCCACCAAAATGGCTAAAATTTAAAAATTTAAAAGGCTGATACATTTGCTGGTGTGAAAGCAAAATGCTTTGGAAAGCCACTTTGGATAACAGGTGGGCAGTTTCTTATAAAGTTAAATACACATTATTATACAACCAAAAAACTCTACCTGTAGATACCCAAGATAAATAAAAATACACATGAATGTTCTTGGCAGCTTTAGTCCAAATAGTTAAAAACCAGAAACAACCCAAATATCCAACAATTAGTGAATGGAGAAATAAAATGTAGTATATCCATACAATGGAATACTAAACTACTGATATATGCCACAATATGGGTAAGTCTCAAAAAGTAAGTGATGTATTTACTGTGATTTGACTAAAAAAATAAAAGTATATTTTTTCATATATTCTCATATATATGAATATGGTTAAAAATTTTTCAAAGGGTAGTGACAGACTATTGAGAGTGGTTATACTGGGGAATGGACTTGGAGGGAGTAGTCTGGGAGGTAGAGGAGATTCACTTTTTACTATATATGGTGGGTAAAATTCTAACATGGACCCCAAGATTGATGGTCCCTCGTGTACCCACACTTTCTATTTTTTTTGATCAAACACTAATCTAGGTGCTACTATGAAGGGATTGTGTAGATGTAATTAAGGTCACAAATCAGTTAACCTGAGAAAGGGAGATTATCCTGGGTGGGCCTGACCTAATCAGGTGAGCCCTTAAAAAGGACTGGGAGCTTCCAGGTGAAAGAGATTTGAAATCTGAAAGGGATTTGACATTTGGGTTCTCCCCTCTTGTATGGATGACAGAGAGCTATAGCGCAAGGACATAAGAATGTTCTCTAGGAGCTGATAAGCAACCAGCCATCAAGAAACTGAATCCTGCGAACAGCCTGAAAGAATTTGGAAGAGGAGCCTCAGATAAGAACCTAGCCAGCCAACATCCTGAGTGAGACCCTGAGCAGAGAAGCCAGCTGTGCTGGCCTGACTTTCTAACCTACAAAACAATAAGCTAATAAATAGGTGTTATTTTAAGAAGCTAAATTCTGGCAATTTGTTACACGGCAATAGAAAACTAGTACACTATATTCTTCTCTTTTCTACCTTTTGAATACCTTTTAGTCATGTAAGTATGTTGTCTTTATTATTAAGAGAGAAGAAACACCATGCTTCCCAGTCATGAAAGTATTCAAGAAGATTAGAGTAATACTTGTTAGTTTTTACCTGATAAGCACATGCTTATCAGATAAAAGTCGAACTAAATGATCTATAGAATCCCTTCTAGTTCTAAAGCTATAAGATTTTAGGGTCATGTTAAAAGAAGCTTTTCAAAAATGAAGAAGAGGGGCCAGAGAAAATGAGGATTAAGCAATGACCATTCAGTGGATTAGTCACTAAAGTATTAGTGACTGTGACAGCAGTTTCAGCAGAGCAATGTGTTAGAAAGCAGATAAAGAGTAATTCCAAAGGTCTGCAAGGTGATAAAATAAAGATGGGGCAGACTATTATTACCAAAGAGTGAAAAAAAGATAAAAAGGATGGTAGTTTGGTGGTCAAACTACAATTTATCAAAACCATGGAGCCTTTAGCATGTGTGAAGGAAGAGGGAAAAACAAGAAGAGGCTTAATGAGCACAAAACTAAGAAAATCATTTAATCTTATTGAATTATCCATGCTTGTATTTGCGATTTTTGTTTTTTGTTTTTTTTTTAAGATTTTATTTATTTATTTGACAGAGAGAGAGAGAGCACAAGCAGGGAGCAGCAGAGGGAGAGAGAAAAGCAGGCTCTCCGCTGAGCAGGGAGCCCAATGCAGGGCTCAGTCTCAGGACCCTGGGATCATGACCTGAGCCAAGGCAGATGCTTAACCTGTATTTGAGATTTTCTACTTAAAGAATCATTAACTCACCTTTCACCAAGTTAAATTTACTCCTCTTTTTAAATATAAATTTTAGTATGAATTACCAAAACACATCTCTCCTATGCAGGCACACTTAGAAGAACCTTTAAGGGCTGATCTCGCACTCAGGAAGGCATCTGACAGGGCCATCCAGCGACTTTCTACACTCTGTCATTAAAGGAGTTCTCTCCATCCACCAAGTTCTGCAAGTATGCCCAGCAAAAGCAGTGCTAGTCTTCCTACTGAATGCTGTGGAAGCAGTTAAGAGTTTTAATTTGCTTCATGGTCCCATAAGAAAGAGACACTGAAAACACTCAATAATTATTCAATCCATTATTGATTTTTAATTTCAATCAACATAAAAGTTAATTTATATTCAAGGTACAAACAAAAGTCTTTCAGGTCTCTGAGTTGTTACTTTGCAATCCGAGAGGTATGCAGAGTACAATATGGATCTATTTAAAAGATATACTCACTTTCTGTTCATCATCAGATACTTGTGAGGACAGACAAGTTGTTTTTGTTGGCATGTGAGACTGATAGAGCTGAAAAAGAAAAAAAAAAATTAAAACAGATATTACTCCAGAAAACCTTATATCTAAATAACATATCTGTGTTAAAGAGGAATTCTAATATTATCATTATCACCAAGTTTTGACTTGCAATCTATACAACTGACTCATGCTTAAAACATGGTTTTCCTGCTGGATAAATATATGCAAAAGTAAATAATATATAATATTCAACATATAATTTACAATCAACATACTTACCCAAATATTCAAAAATTCTATAAAAGAGTAAACTCCCATTTACATCCAGGAAGACAAAGAACATTACTTTTATTTAGAAGACTTTACAGTGGGAACCAGAAAAGACCCCGGATAGCCAAAGGAATGTTGAAAAAGAAAACCGAAGCTGGAGGCATCAGAGTTCCACACTTCAAGCCATATTACAAAGCTGTAATCATCAAGACGGTATGGTACTGGCATAAAAACAGACACAGAGATCAATGGAACACAACAGAGAACCCAGAAATGGACCCTCAACTCTGTAGTCAACTAATCTTCAACAAGGCAGGAAAGAATATCCAATGGATAAAAGACAGTCTCTTCAACAAATGGTGTTGGGAAAATTAGACCATGACATGCAAAAGAATGAAACTGGACCATTTTCTTACAACATACACAAAAAATAAACTCAAAATGGATGAAAAACCTAAATTTGAGACATGAACCCATCAAAATCCTAGAGGAGAACACAGGCAGCAATCTCTTTGACCTAAGCCACACCAACTTATTAGACATGTCTTCAAAGCCAAGGGAAACAAAGCAAAAATAAACTACTGGGACTTCATCAAGATAAAAAGCTTTTGCATAGCAAAGGAAACAGTTGACAAAACTAAAAGGTAACCTATGGAATGGGAGAAGATATTTGCAAATGTCTTATCAGATAAAGGGCTAGTATACAAGATCCATTAAAGAACTTATCAAACTCAACACCCAAAAAACCCAAAAAATCCAGTCAGGAAACGGGCATTAGACATGAACAGACATTTCTCCAAAGAAGACATAAAAATGGCCAACAGACACATGAAAAAATGCTCCACATCACTCAGCATCAGGAAAATATAAATCAAAACCACCTGACAGGTGTGAAATACCACTTCACACCAGTCAGAATGGCTAAAATGAACAACTGAGAAAACACCAGATGTTGGCGAGGATGCGGAGAAAGGGGAACCCTCTTATACCATTGGTGGGAATGCAAACTGGTGCAGCCACTCTGAAAAACAGTATGGAGGTTCCTCAAAAAGCTACAAATAGAGGTACCTTATGACCCAGCAATTACACTACTAGGTATTTATCCAAAGGATACAGACATAGTGATTCAAAGGGGCATATGCACCCCAATATTTATAGCAGCAATGTCCACAATAGCCAAACTATGGAAAGAGTCCAGATGTCTATCGACAGATGAATGGATAAACAATATATATACACATATACATAAGATGTGATGTGTATGTGTGATGTGTGTATATATATATATACAGACATGGATGGAACTAGAAGGTATTTTGCTAAATGAAGTAAGTCAATCAGAGAAAGATAATTATCATATGATTTCACTCATACTTAGAATTTAAGAAACAAAACAGAGGAGCATGGAGGAGGGAGGGAAAAATAAAGTAAGACATAATCGGAGAGGGAGACAAACCATAAGAGACTCTTAACCATAGGAAACAAACTGAGGGTTGATGGAGGGGAGGATGGGGTAACTGGGTGTTGGTCTTTAAGGAGGACACTTGATGGAATGAGCACTGGTTGTTAGAGGCAACTGATGAATCATTAAATTCTACCTCTGAAACTAATAATAAACTATATGTTAATTAAATTGAATTGAAATTAAAAATTAAAAAAACAAAAGACAGGATTAAAAAGGGAAAATGAGCTATTTCACTAAAAAAATATTCTAGGAGCCAAGAAGATACTCAAAATTAGGTATATTCCCCAGAAGAATGCCAGGGTAAATACAAATGTTAATGATCCAATTTCAGTAGAGTTAGGAAAACAGGTATTTAAAAATTTGAACAAGTCCCTTAGTTATCCAATTAAAATAGAAATAATTATCATTTATAGGGTTCCTGTTATATGCCAATCATTATATAGCTCATTAAGTACATATTCTTATTTAAGTACATTTCTTATTTTCTGAGCTATACATATTCTCATTCTGACAGCCTACATGAGAAAATTAGGATTCTGAAAGGTTAAAGAACATACCCCAAATCATAAAAGCCAATAAGCTGTAGACACAGGTCTGATCTGCCTGCAAAGCTGATGTTCCTTCCACTACTGTCCCAAGCTACAAACCAAACAAATATTCACTGTTTGCAACAGTGAAGAATGGGGGAAGAGAAGTAAAAGAGAAGTGGGAATTTCAAAGCAATGCTGCCTCAAAAGTTGCTATCCTACTTTTCAGTGCAGCACAAGATACTAAAGAAATGTGGCATTTTTTAAAAAGTAGCATTCATATGCCTGTAGTAAGAAAAATGTAAACAGTGCCAGTAAGAAAACAGTGCAAAATAAGTTCCTCTCCTACCCTTGATTTACTAGTACCTCAGCAGACCTATGTATCCTTTGCAGAGACAGACCATGCATGTATGAGTATATGTGAATATGCAGGTGTCTTAATTTATAAAAATGGTAGTGGCTATTGCTCTGCATTGTGATGTTTCCCCTTAATCTCTCACGGAGACTGTTTCACTGTTATGCAGATCTACTTCACTCCTTCAGTAGTATAGTATTGTTTTATATATGACAATATATGTGGATCTCTATCTTTCTTTAAGCAGTCCCTAGTCTTTAATTACAATAAACTATGCTTCGGTGAACAGCTTTGACCACATGTATGATGAAAGGGAGAACCTTACCCCTGCAGCAAGAGAGTAGTGCTTTTGGCACCTTCAAGTGCTCCCCCACCATACACACACACACACTGGGATTGTGAACGCAATCTCACAGATACACAGGTATGTATCATGACTGGATTTTATAGAATACTAACAACAATCTCCCTCTGTACATTCTGGGTAATATAAGCTATTGAAGCTGGCCTTGTGACTTAATCACTACATATACAGTGTTTCCAAATCCTGAGTACCTAATTGAACACATTGTTTCAACATGAAATGACTCTTGTCAATTGGAAGATGTCCTTTATATAAAGCACACAACAAAAATTCTGTGATGAACACTTACGTACTGGCTGTATTTTCACAATTTAAAAAAGTGAAAAATACATAAGCACATCAAATTGGCTTAAGGTTTTGTTTTTTGTTTTTAACTACATATACTTCACCTTACTCCCCCCAGCCAGCTCCCTTGCCCCCAGTCATTGTCTGACATGTAGGCAGTAGCTCATGTCCCTCTCTATGCCAGAAGAGAAAAGTGAGAGCTAAGGGAAAAGAGCAGTGGTAGTTATGGAAATGTGGAGAAAGAGATCATTACAGGCCAGAGCAGTTTTCAGAGAAGACAATGATATTGCAATGAGTCAGGAAAAGTGGCATATACAGCAAGAGAGAAGGTGGCATTTAGGGTAGAAAAAAAAAAAATCCCTGAGTACCAGAGGGAGGTAGAATTCAGTATTTGGAGAAAGAAAATAGTGAATATAAGAGTTTGGTGCCGGAAAAAAAAGTTCATTGGTCTCCTGCTGTAGTTATGAATGAGGTTATAAATGAGGCTGAGAAAATGATTAGGTACAACAGATGAGTTAGCTGATTGAGGAATTTTGAAGTGTCCATCTCAAGAGTCTGAAAATAACTGTTTGGGGGCCCTGTTCAGAGCCTTGCCTTAGATAAACTGAGTAAGAGAGTAGAATATTCATGGGCGCCTGGGTGGCTCAGTTGGTTAAGCGACTGCCTTCGGCTCAGGTCATGATCCTGGAGTCCCTGGATTGAGCCCCGCATCGGGCTCCCTGCTCGGCAGGGAGTCTGCTTCTCCCTCTGACCCTCTCCCCTCTCATGTGCTCTCTCTCTCTCATTCTCTCTCTGTCAAATAAATAAATAAAATCTTTAAAAAAAAAAAAGAGAGTAGAATATTCCATGCCTAGTGCTACTTCTTGATGTCAAAAAAATTATGGTTAAGAAAGTAGCTTCACAGTTTTAATATAATGACTAGCATATTTTTGTTAAATACTTGCTTAGTAAGCAATTTGGTTGATAAGTAAAATTTGCTTACGGGCGCCTGGGTGGCTCAGTTGTTAAGCATCTGCCTTTGGCTCAGGTCCCAGCGTAGGGCTCCCTGCTCAGTGGGAAGCCTGCTTCTCCCTCTCCCACTCCCCCAGCTTGTATTCCCTCTCTCGCTGTGTCTCTCTCTGTCAAATAAATAAATAAAATCTTAAAAAAAAAAAAAATTGCTTAAGAAACAGGATAGGTTTTGTATTAGTTCATCACTAAATTTTGACTAATAAAACCTAGGTTATATTTCTGTCATTTATATATGTTCATTTCAAAGATCTGCTTTTGATTGTTCATTTCCTGTGTTTCTGAATACCTGCCAAAAAAAGTCTACTTAATATCTCTGTGGATAAATGTTTTGATCAGGAAGTATGAATGAGTCACATAGAAGTATTAAAAATAGTTGTTTTTAATTTTTCCCCTGCCACTACCTGACTAGTCGAATTTCCAAAACAAGTTTTAGAATAAAGTTTTTAACAAATTAACAAGACATTATTGAAGGTAAAATAACAAGGGGACAAGAGCTGACCAAGTCCCTCTAGTGGCAAACCCTAAATTAAAAAAAAAAAAAAAAAAATTGGAAGTGGAATTCCAGTCTGCAGTATCAATGATCACTTACTATGTGTAAATCACTGTGCCTGGTACTGGGGTCTCAGGAGGAGTAAAACAGAGCCCTTGATCTTAAGAACCTGCCTCAGAGAAACACAAAGTCATTGATCAATCTCATTCCAAGTAAGACTAACAAAATCACCACCTACACTTGATTACTGTTTGCTTTTTCTATAGTTTTTACTTTATTTTAAA